TAAATGTATAGGCTTATTACTTTTAGTAGTATACTTCTCCTAGGATAATTCCTGGGAGTTATCAAATCCGAATTCTTTTGGACAGGGATAAGGATAACGAGATCTTCTGTATTGATTCTCATTTTGTCGCATGTCCAGACCATGACCGTGTGTTGCATACATGTTAGTAAACACCCTTAGCGCATCTTGCACTCTTAACATTGATCCTGGTGGCTATTCGTATTGACGCGGTAGCGGACCATAATGGTCATAGAAGTATTATGAAGGCAGTACCCCCCCCCCAATTATGGAGGGGTAATTCACACTCTGGGTACGAGCACAGACTCTGCAAAAGCACTTATCCTTCCCAGAGAGGTGGAGATGAGCCGCTAGAGGGCAGGAAAGTATCTAAGGTTGACGGGGTCAAAAAACAAACTGTGGATAAGCACTACTGCTGGGTATCTGCAGATTTAGGCTACATTTAAGGCCTGTTAACGCCACTTAAAATTAACTTAAAGGCCAGTTTCCAGTTTCACAATAAAAAAAACGGCAAAACACATGCAATGACGCAATGCAGTTACTTTAAGCGGTTGGCTGCATTGTGTTTTCCACATGCAGGGTGACATTCCACAACTTAGATTCCGATTGTTCTTCTTGTTTGAAGAACTTCATGCGCCGTATACCACGAGCCTCATATTCAAAGCGTTATTTGGCGTTTCCCTGGTGACGTTTATAAAGTCAGAAAGGCAAATAAAAGGGCCCCTACAATTAAATTAATATGATACTGTGAAAAGTTGGTAAGTTTCCTTTTAGCGAAAGAATCCTTAGAAAAGAACTGACTGAGAGCTACTATACTTGCTGTTGGTAAACACTAATGTCAGAAGCACCCATTTAGTGGCAGCCTCCAGTGAAAATGGATGTGAGCAATACAAATGTGCACTTCATCTAGCTGTTGTAGGTCTCCTGCATTCCCATTGCCGCTTTAATAAGACGGAGCCGAAGAAACTAAATTCTGCTGGGTTAATGAGGCCATTTTCCTGTCACGGCAGCTCCTTACAGAGACTGAGCTGTAAGCATTAAATGCTGTTCTGCCCTTCTGAGTACTTTCTTACCTAAAATCCTTTTGGCCAGGTGCACCGGCAGCCGACGGATAAAATCCGTGTAGCGATTGACTGCAGACAGCAGCTCCGAGGCCCTGAGGAACGCCGTGAGAGCGGTGTCTTGGGAATACAGAGAGTTCCCATCGCCATCCCAGCTCCTGTCACGCACCCGAACCGCCGAGACTGACTGGGACGCCTCCGTCAGGGCATCGCTCCCTGCTGAGTGAGACGCATGGTGTCCGCATTACAGACATTATAGCAATTACATTAGGTCCCCCTGTTATGCAAATGCGCTTCCTCGATCATACCAGGATCTGGTGCAAGATCTATTTGCTGCTCCAGGTACCAGGCATCCTCCAGTGGTCCAAAGTTGGAACTGGCGCTGATGAGTAGGTCAAGCTCTCGGTGTTCATCCGAGTAGAAGGAATAATGTGATTCTGGGATGGAAGTAGCGTGGGCCTCGAGGTCATCTACAACTACACGGGATAAAGGAGTCAAACGACAGGTTCTTTGTCTCGTGTCTGAAATGTACGGTTGCATCTGGACTGTCAAACAGAAAATGTATTATGGTTTTAGGGACATGGCAAAGAAAACACAGAGATTTGCGTCGTTCGTCGCCACTTACTTACGTTATGATGGAGAAAAGCTCGACTTTCCCCTGCCAGAAGCCTCCGAGAAAGATTTCCCAGAACGTGAAGAAGACTGACATTGCAGAGAGGCAAAACTCCCAAAACGTAATTCGCTTTGGTCCAGTTTGAGCTGCAGCTGAACCACTTCCAGGTTTCCGTGATTTCCCCGTTGAGTACTTCGCTTCGGTCCGAACTCCAAGCGTCTAGATCCCCCGGCAGAGCCGGCCTTTGCTGACACCTGGCATAGGTAAAGTCTTTGCCCAGAGTTACCTGTAACAGCTGTTCGACGCTTCGCAGAATGTCCAGGCTCTGACAGCGAAGTAGTAAACCAGTGAGAAAGCGACTCTTCGGCGCGTCTCCGGCCCGCAGAAACCATTCGGCTGTGCGGGAGAGTCTGGACCCGAGGATGCAGAGCCGACACCGACACACCCGGACCCCCGGCACGCCGCTTCTGCAGCGAAGCCGGGGAGCTGAGTCTATTCTGAGCTCGCACTCTTCCTCTGCTCCAAAAAGGTCCATTTCGCTGCGCCTTTCAGCAGCAATTCGCTGCGCCTTTCAGTCCTACAAATTCTACCTGATTTGCATGTCAATTTATTTCAATTTTGACGATGAATTTGTAATAAACATTGAATAAACAATATTAACTTGTCACAATGTTTCCTTTGTTTAATTTGAATCAAGTTTTTGCTATTTTTGATACTTGTTTTGATACATTCAGCGATACATTGTAGAATTTAGCGTCCTAGAAAAAAGCTTATTGAAATACAGACCCGATATCTTGCAGTAAGTAAATGCCTATTAAAATTCCGCAGAAATGCCGGGGTTGTTGCCTTGTTGCTGTGCAACGGGCTTATAAATTCCTGCGCCACCCACCCAGAAAGAAGACGGAAAACAAAGCAAAGACACTGAATGGAAAATTAATTTTCCGCGTGCATCTTGGGTGTATGCACCACTTTCCAAAACACTACAAAATACGAATACTAAAAACGTAGTGCGCCGCCCGGGAATCGAACCCGGGTCGCAAGAATGGGAATCTTGCATGATACCACTACACCAGCGGCGCTATACAGTGCATCATTCTGACAGCTATACTAACATCTTATATGTATTGCATATATCTGTAACCACCCTAATTTGGCGACCATGACATCTAGCATAAGACGAACATATGCATGATTAGGTAGCGTTCAGTGTCAGAAACTTTGGTCAGAAAGTCAGTTGTGTAAAACAAATATATCGCACGTTTTAAGTCCAGAATAATTTATGGGGTTAAGTTTCCTTAATTTCGGCATTCACTAATTTAAATCGATTAAGTTTGGGCGCCACTGAATTAAAATTAAATTCCGCCATTATACAATTACAACGTGCCTTTACCGTTTATTTATATATGCCGCATGGTTGTGGAGAAAAAATTTTTTCAAGTAGTTGAAGCAATAGTCGCCTTTAGGCTTTTCTCCCAGGGGGTGCAAAGTGAGAGAGCGACTTGTCATTCAAATATAACTTTCCAATGTAATTTAATTTTATTGAACTGAATATATTCAAATAGCATTTTCATCTTACCAGTAGGGGGTGCAATTGTTCGGAGAACACACGCAAGTCTTCAAATTGGTTTTTATGCAACACGCCTTTGCTTACAATTCTTTTTTGTCTTTAATAAGATCTAATCCTGAAAATATAAAACCTAAACTAATGTGATTACGTGTATCACTCGAGCTTAACCAGAGAGACTAACTTTTCAGTGCAGTTTAGCTGAATGTGTAAAGTATGGTTCGATAATTTTATCGTTCTATTCAGACACATCTCTTAGTGAGATAACAAGCAGATTTACGTTGTGGAAAATGGTGCGAAAACACCTAAGGTATGAAACCTACTCATTCCCTCCTGATAATAGCACTCAGCCCGAGCTCTCGTCGTTCCCTCGTGGAACTCCTTTAATGAGTTCTTATTACACCATATCTAATTTCTTATCTGACTCTCTGGCGTTTGTGAGGACTAACAGTGCGTGTAATGAAGGAGTCACCACTCGAAAGGTAAACGTGGGAACTGTTATCATCTCTCCCATGTTCACAGCCGGGTCATTTGCGCCGGTGTTCTGTCGAAAAATACTACCTATCGAGACGTGCTATCGAGCCTTTCTGCGCATGTGCAGTTCCACCGTTTTGGGATTAGGGTTAGCTTTTAGGGGTTAGGGTTAGGGTTAAGGTATGGGTTTTAGGGGTTTTGGGTAAGAGTTAGGGTTAGGGCTATCTATTAGCACTACGGTAGCATTTTTCGACAAGGCAGCATATATCGACAGAACACCGGCAGCCTGAATTCCCCCGTGTAGGGATCGATGCCCTTTGAGCATCCAGCCTGGTCTTTCCATGCATGCTGACATCCATCAAGGTGTAGAGTGGTCTGCTTGGAAAGACCTTGCTGGACTTGTGCAGAAAGCTCCAGAAGAGGGTGCTTTAAATGCTCAGGAATTATTCGGAGGGGATGGACATCAGAAGTTTTTAAATGTGTATGACTTGCTTCAGTCTTTTATTTTATTCCCAGCCAGATGACCTAATAAACTATTTTCTATAAGTATCGGTAATTTTTATATAGGCCTATACGCCAGTTTATACAAAAGCGTTTGCTAAATATGTAAAATGTAGACGTAAATTATACACAGGTCTATTTAGCAAACGTTTTTGTCCAAAGCGAAATACAGGTGAGACAAATAGCACATTTCAAACATGCGTGTAGGAGGTGATGATACTGGGGCGGGCAACGCAGTTTAGTAGCCGAGATGCAAAGGTCTGTTCTTTCAGAGGGACGAATGAAGCCAAATTAAATATGGTGGGATACATACCCCCCCGCTAATTCCTATAAGCCTTTGCATACGTCCTGTCGAAGAATCAGCTGGGCATAAGTGCAGCTCGGCTGAGCTTCCAGTGAAGGCCCAGGTACAGTGTAAGCAGAATCGGAGCAGCTACACAACATTTAACAAAGCAAGAACCTAATGAGACTATTCAGTAACCAGAAGTGCAACTTAAGAACATTCAGCGAGCAAGACATCGGGCTAATATATATGTAATTACCTTCACTGTAAAGTTTTCGCTTTATTTGAAAAAGCATGTCCGGTTTGGTTGCTTCCGGGCAGTGAGGTGTGAAATTAGAAGCTATTACCGAAAGCTGAGGGAACATTAAATGGAGTAAACGGGGAGGGGGCGGCGGAGTAGACCTCAGCTCCACGCGGAAGCGCAGTCCGGGCCAATCTGCCGGGTGCCAGTTCAAGCCTTCTTATATAAATGTCAGTGATGGATGAGTTTATTACTGCGCTAGAACACAACAGATAGAGAACTGATAGACAAAACAAATGGGAACATCTAAAATTTTTAAATTATGATAAGGCCAATTAGGCGTTAATCCTCCGGTTTGTCAAGTTATCGTGGTCACAATGTATTGTTTTAACTCACTTGTCACTATTCATTGTTGGGGCCGTTTGTCTTGACATTATTAATGTGCAAGAAAATGATTCTTGCATTAAGTGTTGTTTGTGGTATAAAAAAAATTGAAATGGCAGATGCCCTCGTTTTTTCATACTTCTGGTACCCTGTAGTGGATAAACAGTCGTGGAAGATGGATACACTACGGGAAAATTCTCACGATGAGCAGTAAACAGTGCGGTGTCGCCACTAGGTTATGCTGTTTCCTTGACGAAATGTGTCCTCCGCATTTAACCCATATATGACTTAGCAGGGCGCAGCTAATTCAGCACCCAGGGAGCAGGGATTGGAGGCGCTACCTTGATGGTCGGGGATTCAAACCTGCTATCTTTCAATTACGAGTGCGCTTCCCGAACCATTAAGCCACCACTGTCTAGACCTTTTCGACGTCTGTGGCTTTATGATCATCAGACATATGTTACGAGGTATTGACATAGGCTACACTGCACTGCGATGACAAAGCATTTGTTATTACTGAATGCGACACATTCCACCTGTTCTATGTGTGTGACATATTTGTGGTTGGTTCAACGTCTTTCATTCCAAATACTCTATGAGAGAAACACACAGACATATATAACAGTTGAGAGCGAAGACTGTGGATTGAGCGCAGGGTCAGGCCATTGATAGGGCGCCGCATAAAGTGAATGAAATACCCAATTTGGGTGTAGAGTGTAGCTCAGTTGGTCAGGCCTGTGTGTGTGTGTGTGTATGCGGCACTGCGCACTCCGTTTGCATTGTATTACACCGTATTTGTTACTATTATGAAACAAAAATCCCTTTCCCATTAGAAGTTGAGAAACCTGAAAATTCAGTGTTTGCATTTTGTTTACTCAAGAGAAGAATTGTATTCTACCTATAGCCTTTGCGAAAATAGACCTACACCAATCCCAGACTTGGATAGTTATCTTAAGAAATATGGCAACAAAAGAAAAGGTATAGTATGATATCAACACGAAGATGGAATACAATAAATAGCGGGTATAACGTTTCCATTTGCCCAACAGTTTCACCGTAGCATTATTAGGCTGGTAATTTGTTTATTCCTCAGGCAGTGATTTGATTGCTCACTTAAACTGTCTGCTGAACCGTAACGTTAATACAGCACAGCTGAAAGGGAAATCATACCTGAAGACTAACAAATACTTATAATAATACTGTTATTATGTAGATGGTTATTATGCAACGTATGTATACATTATACTGTATCCTTTAAAATTAATTATGTCGTTTCAATTAATTAATTTAAACATAGTCCAAAGCATGATTCTGGAACCACATTTCCCAAAATGCACCGGGACAGTAGCGCCAGCCCGTCGTGAGCTGTCATTCTGCCTAAAGAAGAGAAAATTGCACAGCATCTCTGTGCAGAGGAGTGGGAGATTCGGGCAAGAAATATGCAATGAAACGCATCATTCGTCGCCATCGACTGTGTGTTTTCTAGTGAAATGGAGGAGAGGGATTGTCGCAGGGCGGATTTACTGTGCGATCGCCGTGGAACTCTCCTGCCCCTTCGTGAATGAGAAATGCCGACTCCTTTCAGCTATTGGTGTTAACGCAGAGAAAAACACAAAATGAAGAAGCAATTCAATCGGATGCGACAGCTCGCCAACCAAACCGTTGGCAGGTAGGCACAGAAAAACAAGCAACCTTGATTATATTTTGTTGTGACACTATTTTTTACCGTCATTTGCGGAGACGGGGTGTTTGAATGAGGAAAGATTTGCATAGATATGCTGATGGAGTAACTGCTGTGTTGAAATCCCAGTCGAGTGAAAAGTGGTTAAGCAAGAACGTTTTAATATTTTTAATTTTCATTGCACCGTTTTGTGTCGCTCTCGGTCATTAACGTCCAAAATAGTGGCCTCGGTATTCTCTACATTTAATTAATCATCGCCGCTGTGCCCGTATATAAGATATTAATGACTTTAATTGGTTTTAAGAATACCGCAGAGGAACCGTGGGGGCGTGATACCGAGAGAAGGTGCGAATGGGACGCCTTCCGTACGTCGTTTTTTTTATTATGATTATTTTCGAGAAGGTTACATTGGGATCTTGAAGCCGTAGGATGCGCAGTGATCCCTGATTAAACCCAGACGCAAAGTGTTAATCATATTGATAACAATCGTACAGATCGCGATACACCGTAAACCCATATAGTCTGCGTCGCTAGATGGAAAAAAATAAAAAATGTGATGTTTATGTAATCCGTTTATTTAGCCGGGGGGGGGGCATAGGAACCGATCTCTTAACGGGGTGTTTATTACGTTTCGAAGTGGGCTGTATTCTGTAGATGAAGCCAATTTATGGTCACGATTGGGTTGATATCGACGCCAGGCGAAATCAGGCGTAAGACAGAAACCGAGCTACTGTTAAGTATCTACGTGTCTGACAGCATATCTTACGTTTTGCATAGACAATACGTCACCGTTGTTATTATGGGAAGCAAAGGTGATACAGAACAGAACTGCTCTCAATAGTATTTTGCTGTATTCCTCGTTCTCTACACAGAAGTGTGGATTTTTTTATTAATCTATTTTTATGTTATGAGCATTTACGCAAGTACCCCCAGGATGGGGCGATGAAGACGTGAACTTCGTATTACTAAAAAAAAAACGCGTGTTTTAATCGCGTGGCAAATACAATGATTCCTGATGGGGAAAATAGGAAGGAAAGGAGAGAACATGATGCTCTTTTCAGCAAACCAAGTCGTGACACCGTTTCAAACAGTGTGGGCTGTCGCTGCAAGGCAAAATTTTCAGATTTTGAGGTTATACAGTGTTGCATAGCATACAGCAAGTGACACAGATGACAAGCCTTATTAACTGGCAAAATGTATTGAGACTGAGCAACGTTATACAAACCTTGTATTGTTAATGTTGGAATTTTTATATATAGATGTAGGCCTATCCTATATAAAATTCTGCTTCTGATGTATAGGCCTACCATATGTGCAGAGGGTTCCTTACTCATTATTCTTTTGTGCAATAATTTAAAGCCTATGGCTATTTGTTAGTCACGTAACTAGCAATTATGAAGGGAATTCGTGATATCTGACTTTTAAATTTGTTTTTACCTAACGTGGGGTGTCACCTCACCTAATGTTTCAGCAAGCTCTGTAATGGCATTACAATAAACAGGAGCCCTAAAGGAGGCTGTAACCGGAGTGGCCGGCTCTCGGCCGGGACCAGGTGCCCGATCCCTACCGGGGCTAACAAGAGAAACGGAGACCCGAGAACGGTGCCTTGGTTACCGTGGTAACAGCGGGGGGGGAGGGAAGGGGAGGGGGTAAAAACATGTCGCGTTTTCGAGCTACAGGAAAAGTGTCACCGGCTTACGCTGGGTATCGCACCATGGGAATCATCCGAAAGTTAAACGCTGGGCCGAAATCTGACCTGCGTTATTTTTTATCAACCCGGAACTTAAGGATTCCCGATCCCCTGTTGAAATGACGCACACACACGCCCGGATCACATCATTAAATTTCAGCGTAGCAGGCAGCGCTGGGACTTCCCCGAGCTAAACGCGGCCCCTCCGGATCCCCCACCGCGGATCCGCGTCACTCAGAGTCAACATCGTATCTGTTTGCGTTCACACGCCACGGTAGCAACCTAATTATCAGGGAGCCTGGCTAAATGATAAAATAAATACAAGCTAAAGGAAACAGACGCTGCGCAGCACACAGACACACCGGCCGCAGCGGGTGTATAAAAAGGCGGGATCGCCCTGGGCCTTGGTAATGTAATAGAGTTCACGGTGCGTTTGACTGAGTATGAAGTCACACCATTAGGCCGATTACGGCGCCGCATGCGGACCTTTCTGGGCTCTCACTAAGCAACACTAAAGCGATGCCGCTGTCAAATATGTCAAAGCTCCCTTTTACTTTTTGGGCATTTCATTTTTCTCTACTGGTTCTTTGAGGCTGTGGAAACGGGTCTCCTGAGGGGGGGGGGTCTTTCTGTCTCACCCTCGGTATCGCATTTTTTCGGTTTGTCTATCCTAGTGCTGTGTAAACACCCCAACGAGGTATGAAAATGTCCTCTTTGCCCCAATGTCAGCAGGCTACTTTGTGCTGAGAGGCTCGCCCTGGTGACCGCGGTGGTGAAATCGCCAGAGCCTGGCACAGGAACACATGATTAAATTCAGATGGAGGTGGCCTGACAATTATGCTGAAGCACAATCAGATTCCCTACTGCATAATGTGTGTGTGTGGATTAGCCTTACCTTACGTTGTGGGGACCAAATGTCCCCTACAATGTGATAAAAACCTGTTTTTAACGCCGTGGTGACCATTGTTCAGGTCCCCACATAGATCTGTGAATACAATCAAAAATCTAAAAACTTAGTATTTTGACATTTTGAGGACCATTTTTTTGGTCCCCAATAGGGGAAACTGAATTATTTTGTCCCATAAGAGCTTCCTCAGTGTGTCCTCTAGCCGTGCCTGTGAGTTGCAGGCTGTGTTTTCGTAGTGTGGCTCTGTGTCAGCACCTCACCATGGTGTAGGTGGTATGTGCTGCACCATAGCAGGGCCTGTGCCTGTGTGCCCCGTGTGTGTGGCTCTCCTCTGTTGCATGCTGCACATGTGCATGCATGCGCGTGTGTGCGTGGCCAGTATGTTTGCACACGCCTGAGTGGCCCCTGCGTCTTGGGACTCGCGGCTGTGACCCACTGAGGCATAAGGCCAGAGTAATGCGTAATACCATAAACTTTCCCTGTTCGGCATGGTAGCCATGGTAATCAGGGATGCTTCGAGGGCCAGGCTGTGGTGGATGGGTGACCTTCCGGAACATGCTGCTGAATATGACCACCGGCAGCATGTCACCAGTGGGTCAGGTGAGGTTAGGGTTACCTTCAAATCCAAGGTGGGAATAGCTGTTGTACCATTGAGCGTAGAAAGGCAACAGTAAAAATATAAGGTATCAGATTAGGGGGGGTCAATATATTAAACAATGAATGTCAATGGACATGAATAATATTTAAAGAAAAAAAACATTGTGTAAGTGACTTCTATGTCTTGTTTTAAAAATAATATTTTAGAATAGGATGGCGTGCAGTGGGTCCCCCAGCCGTGTGCCCTGGGCTGCTTGGGACAGACCCCAGGCCCCCGCGGGTCCCCACCTGCTACCTGACCAGGATAAGTGATTGCAGGACGGGGGGTGGATTTTAAAATAGCGATGGCAGTGTCTGATGTTGGGTGACATGGTGGTGTCTCCTGTCAGCGCTCATTGCTGGGGTCTGAATCGTCCCCCTCAGTTTCCCAGTGTGGCTTGGGGGGGGGGGGAGCAGGAGTCTGTTCTCTGTTCCCAAACACACTGTGCAGTGAACTGGTGTCTTTAAATGGGTCCTGTGATGGACCAGCATGATCTTGAGCTCTTGTATAGTTTAGATAAAATTGTAACACATTTAAAGACACATTAATTTAAAAATATTACATATACAGGATGTACCCTAGCCTTGTACATCTCCCCCAAAGTCCTGACCAGGATAACATCCTTGAATATGGATGTATGGATGTATACAGTGATGGCTTGGCCATTGTTTGACATGCAGGTCAAGTCTCACTTTGGGTATTTGAGAGGAAACAAGCACTTGGTTTGGGGGGGTCTCTGTGTCTGTTGGTGTGAGGGGGTCTCTGTGTCTGTTGGTGTGAGGGAGGTCTCTGTGCCTGTTGGTGTGAGGAGGTCTCTGTGTCTGTTGGTGTGAGGGGGGTCTCTGCCTGTTGGTGTGAGGGGGTCTCTGTGCCTGTTGGTGTGAGGGGGTCTCTGTGTCTGTTGGTGTGAGGTCTCTGTGTCTGTTGGTGTGAGGGGGTCTCTGTGCCTGTTGGTGTGAGGAGGTCTCTGTGCCTGTTGGTGTGAGGTCTCTGTGTCTGTTGGTGTGAGGGGGGTCTCTGCCTGTTGGTGTGAGGAGGTCTCTGTGCCTGTTGGTGTGAGGAGGTCTCTGTGCCTGTTGGTGTGAGGGGGTCTCTGTGCCTGTTGGTGTGAGGTCTCTGTGTCTGTTGGTGTGAGGGGGGTCTCTGCCTGTTGGTGTGAGGAGGTCTCTGTGCCTGTTGGTGTGAGGTCTCTGTGTCTGTTGGTGTGAGGGGGGT